TCAGGCTGCTGCTCTGAGGACCTTAGCAGCAGAGGCCATCTGTCTCTGGGAGCAATAGTACCTATTTCAGCTGGCACACATGACAGAGATGGAGGGCAGCTGAGAGAAAGTTCATACTTCTCAATATACACAATAGAGTCAGCTACATGGTGCAAAACACCCACAGAGAAGCAGGAAGGGTCACTCATCCTCAGACTCTATTTTCCAGGTACCTTGGGCCACATGCTTGGAATCAAGGTTATTAGTGCTGATGCTTTCCCAGTTTGGCATCTGGGATGTGGAAAACACCTGCTGCTTATTTACATTCAGACTGAAGGCTGGCAGGGATCTTAGCTTGAGGTCCTCACACATTTCCCAGAATTAGCCAGCAGCAAATTTATGTCTTTGTATTGTCCCATCCCTACTCCCTACTGTGAGGCAGCACAAAAATATGAACCAAAATTTATTTAAGATACACTGTATTGGAACCATCAAGTGACACTCCCTTGTATTATTAATGTATACTAATAAAAAATGTGAACCAAAAAAGTAAATTCAAATGGGGGGGGTTGTCTCCAGGTTTAGTTTCTCCCACAACCTTGGTCTCTTAAGAGTAGGAGGAAACAGTGCCTGCACTGGTAGAAAATAAGATAGTAACCACCTATGGAAACTAGATGAAAGGTGGGACAGCAAAAACTTCCTATCCTTTAGGGCTTAAAATAATGGTTATCTGTATCACATATATGTCTATGGGAATGTGGCTTATATTTCATTTCCTTTTCACTTGCTTAATATCTCCTACATAATCTTTTTTATTACACACCCATGTCAAGCATACTATGTTATTTAATCTTTCCCCTGAAGATTACCAGAAGAAGGAATAGCATTTAAAGAAGGTATCACTGGCCTCATATTACAGACAGAAACTGAGGCTGAGGCTAAGCAACTTCTCCAAGTGAAGAGTTGGGATTATTTGTCCTGTTCTTATTTCACAAAGCTGCTTCCATGTTGGAGCAGGTGATGTTGGTCCTGGGAATCTGCTCATGAACCCTAAAAAAAGATGGGTTTTTATGGGACACAGTGCTGAATGTTCACACGCTACCCAAGTATGTTTGGTTTTGTTACACTGGCAGTTCTGAGTTAGGATAGATCAAAAGTAGCTATTATCATGCTATTCTCCATCCTTGGTACAAAGAGCTCCTTGTCAGGCCTCAAATCTGCCATCACATTCCAGTTTCCAGAAATTACTCTGTCATTTGCCTGGCCATCTCCTGGCCACCCAAACTCCACAATTCCTACAATACTCTAGGCTGAACTGATGCCACTGGACACAGCAGTATAGGTGAGCACCTCTCTTCCCTTTCTCACCACCATAATCTAATTTCTGCTCCCTCCATCCAAGGAAGACTGTTATCTCATTGCCATCTATATCTATGAATTATAGGATATAATTATAGGATGTAATATATATATATATATATATATATATATATATATATATATATATATGTAGGATATAATTATAGCAAATCCCATTTGCTTTTTTTTTTTTTTTTTTGGCGGTACTGGGATTTGAACTCCGGGCCTCATGATTGCTAGGAAGACACTCTATACTTGAGTCACACCTCCAGCCCTCCCATTTGCCTTTTGAACTCCCCAGTCTTTCTCCTCCCTTGGCCCAGGGACACTTTCCCTGGGAGTCTGCTCACAGTGGATGCTCCTTGAGGCTCCACTGCAGCTCCTAAACTCTCAGAGATGTCTGGGACTCTTGTTTTCCCTCTCCCTCTGTGCTGTCTCCTTGGGTGACTTACTGCTTTGGCTTCTCTGGGTCTTACCTGACTCCCAGGCTCCAACTGTTGCTCTGTCCTGACCAATTCCTGCAGGCCAGTGCCTGCATTCTGTTTCCCCCAGCTCTTCAAGACTTTTCATGAAATTCCACACTGCACACAACCCCATCAAGCTAACACCACCCAGGGCAAACTTTGAGTAAGAAGAGTAGGCAAGAGGGAGAACAGATGGAAGTTCCTTTCCATCCCTCCATCAACCCCAGGCATGGTGCTTCTGTGTAGTCTATCCAGAGATACCTCACGTGGGTAAATGATCAGCTGTGTCTTTGTGAAGCCGTGGCCAACTCACTAAATAAACCTTTGATTCACTGCTCTGGGATTTCACCTTTCTATAAAACACTGGCATTTAGGCTTTGCCTGAGACTCAGTTTTCTAAGAAATCTGAAATAAGGTTTCTGAAACAGCAAACTCATTCAAAGCATTCCTTCAATCACCACCAACATGCTCTCAACTCATTCCCCAAACATCATTTCCAATTTGGACCTCTGCTGAGCTCCAAATCCAGTGCGATCCAACTGCCAAATGGACATCCACTTGGACATTCTCACGGGTACCTCAAACTCACCAAGCTCTTCCTCAAACGTGCAGAAATGGGGGATGAAGAGATGAAAGACCACTAAAGGAAATCTCACTCTGTCTAAAGGGATAGATAGAGAAGTTAACTAACAATTACAATGGACAAAGATGCTTACTGGTATAAAGCAGAGTAGTAGGACCATGTCTGAGGAAGAAGAGCAAGTCTATTGTGTGCCAGGCACAATGCTTCATGCTTGCATGCACTAGCTCAGCCTTCGCAACAACCCTGTAAGGTATTATTCTCATTCTGCAAGTAAAAAAACATCACAGATTAGAAATCTTACCAAGATCATAAAGAAACTAAATCCAAGTTTACCTGGAAAGTCATTTTTGCTCCCTTCAGAAGAGGAACACCTAACCAGCCACAGGGAGTGGAAATTCCCTGAGGTGGCAAAACGAGAGCTATCTCAAAAAATGAACAGGAGGAGGAAAAGAGGCAAAAGACTGGGCTTCTCTCATTTTATATGAAGAGGTCTGAGATCACAGGGTGGCACAGAAACTGCAGGGGACTGCTGGGCACACATGGAGAAGCAGCCCTGAGTCTAGAGAGGTTGGGAGGACACAAATCATGGATGGTCCTGTGTGCCATTCCAGTGAATTTAAATTTTAAGTTCTAAACATTTGCAGGAACCATTTCAGGACTTTAAGTTTTAAAATCCAATTGGAAGGACTATTTCAAGATTTAAAGCTCGGTGGGGCACTGGTGGCTCACACTTGTAATCCTAGCTGTTTGGGAGGCAGAGATCAGGAGGAAGGCAGCTCAAAGCCAGCACAGGCGCACATTTCATGAGACCCTATCTCAAAAATACCCAACACACAAAAACAGGGGTGGCAGAGTAGCTCAAGTGGTAGAGCACCTGCTTAGCAAGTATGAGGCCCTGAGTTGAAACCCCAGTACCACAAGTTTTAGAAGGGATCCTCTAACTCTCTGGCATCAGCACAGAGAACTGTAGAAGAAAGGCATGGGAGGTCAGGTAACCAGTTTAAAGACTGCTGAAACATCCAAGAAAGAAGTTACATACAAAGTTAGAAGCAGGTGAAAAAGAGTGGACAGTTTTGAGAGACAATAATGAGGGGAGATTGAACAGGGCTGGGTAACTAAATTAGATAAAGAGAGTAAAAAAAGAGTCAAAGACATCCAAGTTTATGGCTTCTGGTATAAACAGGACACAGAAGAGGTGATTTCAGTTTTGGATACTGTTGACTGAGATACATCCTTGTGGGGTAATCACAGGGAGGTAGCCAACAATTTACTGAATGAGTGATTTTGGGATTCGGAGTAGTAGTTCATGGTAAGAAACTATCACCAAGGTAAAAAAAAAAGATGGGTCAAAAAAAGATTGATCCCTTCTCAAAGTGCCACCAAGAATTGCCCAGTCATGGCCCTCAGTGTCCTAATCACCAATGAAAAAAGGCAGGTTAGTTGCTTGGGTAGAAAGGACAGGAACACAACCCAATCCTGAAGAAAGGACAGTGTGTCCTGCAAGTTCCTTAGCACTAGAGAAGCTAAACTTGTAGACTACCTGTTATCAAGACACAGAAACTCTTGTTAACCAGTTCCATGGGACTCAAGTCCTAACATTCTATGGCATCTCTGTATGTAACCAATTAAGTCTACCATCTAGAATGGTATTAGCCATGTACCATCCTTGAGAGTACTGAGGAAAGTTACCCAAAACACTTTCTCTCAGCTTAGAAAGGCTATATGCACAGAGCAGCATCAAATGCTACAACCCACTGACCTTCCCAGAGGGTGTTCTAATTTAGAACATGCCCCCTGGCCTCCCACCTTGGGGACCCCTTCCTCCTGTCTGCCCTTTCCCCTTGAAATGCAGTGCACATGAATGGAGAGCCTGGCCAGGCTAGACTGCTCCAAAGCACCAAGGGCCTCTTTCTCCATCTGGATCAGAGCCCATTAGGATACTGGGCTGGATTTCTTTCCCCACGTGGGCAATAAAAAAAAAAAGGATCTAGCCAATGAAACTAAACTGAGGCTAAGTTCTAAACGAAATGGTAGGGTGCTGTTCATAGGCCTAATAAGTCCCAGCTCTTGAGGCGTTTCAGCAGGTCTAAGACCCAGAAATCTATAAAGTTTTAAAAGCAGCTTCTCAACTGTATTAATTTGCAATGGAATTTGGGGGTGGCTTTTGTAAGTTCCATCCTTTTTTATTGGTCTACTGCTTCAGTTTTCCCTAGTTTAGTAAATGTTCCACCAGAAAGTCCCAGATCTAATAGGGATACTCCACTCGGTACATCAGGAAGTTTGCTGGCGTAGTGATCACATCATTATTCCAGCTCCAGAAACTGCACTGAAGAGCAGTGAAAGCTCCAGGAAGCAGAGCTAGACTGGCAGAAGTACACTGCTCTGGCCTTCCAAACTTCCTAAATGAATTTAGGTGCCCATCTCTAAAAGGGCCCATCTCTAAATACAGCCAGAGTAACATAATGCATATGTATTTGAGGGGCACAGCATACTACTGGTCACTATAGAGAGGGGCCCTCAAATTTGACAAAGCTGAAGCTTCCTCAGCATCCCTTCTCCTCCACTCCTGCTCTGAATTAAATGGCCCAAGTCCCACTCTCAACACCACACAGAAAGCACTGAAGCAAAAGTTGCTTTAATCAAGGGGTGAAGTCCTCATTCAGAGGGACCTCACTCAACTTTGGTGGTGGGGTCTCAGCCTACCCCACACATGCCCTGAAGCCCCTCAGAAAGAAGGAGCAGCTGAACAGCAAATTATGGGAAGCCAGGGATAAGAATGGGGAAACCCATGTTAAGGGCAGGAACAGGAGACTGATAGGATTGGAGTGAAGCTGAATGAGGAAGGAAGAGCTTAACCCACGTGGTTTGGCCTGGGGGTTGGCTGAGGTGGCTGTGCATCAGGCAGAGCAGCACTAGGGATGCTGAGGATCCAAGGGAACAGTGAGGAAAGGAGTGCTTAAGAGATGAGGCGACTGTGAAGCTGGTGCAACTGCTCCTGGGTCAGCACCAGCCGGTGTCGCTGTCCGAGGCCAGCTGCACACGAGAAGGTCACTTTGCCCATGTAGACTGTGTCATCTTGCTGCTCTTCCTTGGCCTTGGGGTTGGGGAGAGGAACAGGACCCCAGGTTAGGGGCTCACTTGAATCGTGAGCCACTAAAGGGGGTCCCTGACTACTGAGACAAGGGCAGCTCCTGGGAGACTAAGGCTCCTGAGGTCCTAGGCCATGGTGACCACATTTTTCAAATTGGTCACAGTCTAACAAGGGAGTTTTGAGTCCCTGCTGATATAAAAAATTATAGAGGGTGTTGTTTACATGCCAAAAAATTAGAATTTCGGGAAGCATTAAAAGTAGTTTTGTATTACTTGCAAGACAGATTTGGACTTGCCAGAAAAAGCAGGATATATGCAGTTGTTATCTGAGATTCCAGAAGCCTCTTCAAATTCTGGGCTTAAAGGGGAAGATCCACCTGAATTGTTCACACCATGCCATCCTCCACCCCATGCTCCCCCTTACCCTGAGGAAGGCTGATGAAGGGAAGGTGGCAAAGTCAGTGGGGACTGTGGCTCCAGGGCGTTGAGTTACTGTCTCCTTAAGGACCTCATCCTGGAGAAGGGAAGACAACGGTTCATTTAGGGAACTCCACAGGCTAGCATAAGACTTCCCTGTTTTCAGAGAGACACTAATACCACAGGGGAAATGACTCAGTCCTCTATATAGCTATACTTTTGTTCTCACCTTCAACTCCCTCCCTACTCTAACATTCCTCCTTACTTTATAGATCCTCATTCTTTAAGGCTCAATTCATGCCTCTGGGAAGCCATGCCCAACCTTTCTACCCCACAGTGATCTCAGATCTGACAGAAGTTGCAGCCTAAGTCACATACCTCAAAGATGATCCAAGCTCATGTATTTTGCTGATGAGAATTTATATTCTGTTTGTACTAAGACAGTTCCACCTTTTCTTCCACCTCTCTCCAAAGTTCCATCTTGCAGAGATGTGCCCAGAGTAACTTCAGAAATGCCTACCTAGCTCTACCAATGGATGCTCTGAAGTAAGCTCTGTAGAGTGGAGAAGGGCAGGGTGTGAACTGACCTTTAGCTTCTCAATGGTGTCACTCAGGGACTTCAGCTGAGCCACTTGCTCCATAAGCTGGGCCGACGGGCTCTTGGCAGCTGTGGGAGGTAAAGCAGATGAGGCCCAGTGAGACCCAGCAGAAGCTGAACTGATTAAGGGTCAGAAGTGCAGATACTGGACTCTCTCATGGAGTGGACACTTAAGAGAGAGTGGGTAAATCAAGCAAACTGAACTCTGAACCAAAGGACACTGCTGGGAAGACCCTCTATAGTTCAGGGACTGCCTGGGCAGGAGCTAAATCCCTAGGGAAGGGGAGGGGTGTGTTATTCATCTCAGGAGCCTGATAAGTACATACCAGGACTGGTGCGAGTGATATCTACTACATGGGTGTGCGTGCTCAGCTGATTTAATGTTTCTAGCAGCTGGCTGGTCTTGCGATACAGTGTTCCAGCTGCTAGCTCATTGCCAGGACCTTCATGCGGCGGGAGGGAAAGCTTTGCAACATGCAGAGGGGGCAGGGCTGCCAAGGATGCCTTCATCTGGGCTCCCTGTTGGGAAAAAAAGAGGGTTAGTAGTAAGAGGTGCTACAAGACTTCTGCTATTCCTCATCAATGAGGCGGGTACGCTCCACCCTCCACCCCAGTCCTCCCTGTGAACTTCTCACCTTGAGGAGGCTATTCTCATGCTGGAGCTGAGAAATGTGCAGCCTCATAGCAGAGATCTGCTGAAGCAGCAGGGGTGAGTCCTTCACCAGCCCAGGGCCTGGCAAGGAGCCTGGAGCCTGCCCAGGAGCACCCCCTGTAGATAGCACAACAAATGTTCTCAGCCCCAGTGGAAGGGGTTGAAAACTGGGTTCCATCCCTGTTCTTCAACTTTCCTCATACCCTCCCACCTCCAGTTTTGGCTGCTCCCCCACCCCCAATTCCCACCAGCTCTGGTAAGTCCCAGCCAGAATAAGTCTCTACCTCGCTGCTGTTCTTCTGTGCTCCGGATAACCCATGGGGAAGCAGAAAAAGAGGAGAGAGGAATTAGGTAATTTATGTTAGGATGATACACCAGAGGAATCCTGGACATGATCTGTAGGAAAATCCTTTTCCTAATACCAAACTTTCTCTATAAGATGCTGCCTCTGCCCCTCCTTTAGACTGAGGAACAATATGTGTGAAAGAAAGAGAAGAAAGGGGAGTAAGGCTATGCATCAGGATGCTCTGTAGGAGAATGGCAAGATGAGTGTGTTGCAGGAAGCACCTGGGGCATGAGGCAACAGCCTAATACCACATCTCCAAGAAGGGCATGGAAAACAATCCAGGGACCCCAACGCATCTGTACCCTTCCTTACTGCTTACTGGCAGCAAAGCTTAGGTTAACAATTCAGGCACATGCTCCTCAAATTTCCCTATTGCTCAAGGCAAAAGACTTCCTTTTTTAGTAGGAAGTTTCATTAGGTCAGAACCAATATTTAAAGAGTTTATACTAAATAATACAGGATGGTAATTCTGAAAACTCCCCCAAAGAACATGGAACTGTTTGTACCACAGGAGTCTAACATCACAAAGGTACCAGTGATAGGGACTTAGATAAGAAAAAGACCTTAGGTAAGGTTAGCTAACAAGACAAGAGAATCAGTCACTAAGTCCAGAGGGCCTGATGATTTAATTCCAGGACAAAGAGATTGTCTTCTGAAAGTGGAAAGGGTAAGTAAGAAACTGAAAGGGAGCCAGGTGCTGATGGCTCATGCCTATAATCCTAGCTACTTGGGAGGCTGAGATCAGAAAGATCATGCTCAAGGCCACTCCTGGCAAATAGTTCACAAGACCCTATCTCCAAAATAACCAGAGTAAAATAGACTGGAGATAAGACTCAAGCAGTAGAGTTTCTGCTTTGCAAGCACCAAGTCCTGATTTCAAACTTCCCACCCACCCAAAAAAAGAAAACAAAAGAAACTGAACAAGGAACAAAAAAACAGCCACTTCCTTACCCAAGAATCTGGGAAGACTTGATGAAAACAAGAAAAGAGTAAAGAAAAAAAATAAAAAGAAACTGGGGAGACTGGGCTTGAAAGCCACACGAATTATGGGTGAATTATGAAATGGGAAAACTAACCACACCACAGTACAAAGCCACATGAACTCAAGGAAATGCAGTGCCCAAGCAGAAGAACAATCAAAAGCAAGCATCAGAACCAGGTTCTGGTGGCTCATGCCTGTAATCCTCAGAAGGCAGAGATCAGGAAGATTGAGGTTCAAAGCCAGCCTAGGCAAATAGTTTGCAAGACCCTATCTCAACAAAAAAGGGTTGGAGGAGTGATCCAAAGTGTTGGCCATGAGTTCAAAACTCCAGTACCACAAACAAACAAACAAAAAAAACAGGCATCAAGCAAGGCTGGATGCCCTGGAAGAGTTAGCCTAGCCTAATGCAGCAGGCTGACAACCCTCTGGTTGTAGAGTTGGGACAGAAAGGCTAGATAGTAAATCCAGAAGGGACAGGTACTAGAGTTCACCTGTTATCACAATGTTGAACTTCACTAACAAATTTAGTAATGCCCTGGTTTGTTCAGAGGGATTTTGTACATATGTTCTGGGAAAGTGAAAACTTGGTGAAAGTAGGCAGAGTGAAAGTGGCATCCAGAGAGGAAGGGGACAGAAGTCAAACTGAGGCCAAGGACAGAAGAATCAGTGTCCTCTGGATCAGTGCTGCCTATCCTACTGTACTCACCACCAGCAATGCCAGAGACCAGGGTAGCAATGTCTGAGGGAGGGGGCCCCCGGAGCCCCTCAATTGTGCGCTTGGACTGGTTATTCAGTCGCTGCTTTAGCTCTGCTTTCTCTGCCTCCAACTGGTCGATGTCAGCCTGGAGTGCATCCATTGTCTCCTCAAACTCTCTGTGAAAGAGAATTTGGGCTTAGGCAGGCTCCTGCCCAACCTGACCATTCATTCCCTGCAGGTCCTTGTAGCCCCCACTAGCCCTGCTTGTGAGGAGCCATGGCAGGGCAGCGCAAGCTTAGGTTGGGAGCGTCACACTACAAGGTGGAGGGGGAAGGCTTAGGGACAGAAAGCCTCCTGCAGAAGGGAGGGCTGAAAGAAGTAGGACCCCAGAGAAGGTGCCTGACTTCTCCTTCTTCCGCAGCAGTGCCTGGGTCTCCTCCAGCCGAGTCTGGACCTTCTCAATGCGCTCATCTGCATCCTTGGCAGCACTGTCCAGCTTCTTCTCCAGGAGGCTCAGTCGCACATTAGCCTCACTCAGCTCCTCTCCCTGGACAAGGCAGAGAGTTTCTAGTTCCCTGACATCCTCCCTATGATTCCATGACCTGGGTTAGATCATGAAATAGAAAGCTCCCTAATGTCCTCCTGATTGCAGGCCCCACCCTCAACCCCCAAAGCCATCTCAGTCTCAATCCCCAACACTTGCTGCTGCACCTACCCTACCCTCACCTTAATCTTGAGTGACTTCTTTAACTCCTTGATAACTGTCTCTCGATCTTCAAGCTTCAAACCTAGGCCTTCAGCATCTGTGATCTCCGCACGAAGGGCTGCAGCCCGCAGTTCAACTGGGGGAGGCTAAGTAATAGGTGGGTCAGAGAGTGAAGGCAGAGAGAGGGAAACACCAATGTGTTCCTTTCAGAGATTCAGTCACAGGGAAAACCTTGCCTTCTAGGCAGCATGCTGCTCTCCAGACACCACCCTCCCACAACTAGCAGCAATTCTGCAACTCATGCTCCTCCCAGCCACTGGAGTCCCTTCAAGGAAGTCTCTACTCACTTTGCTGGGGGGCCTCTCTGCATCATACTCCCCCTCCTGCATGGCTGTGGCCAGCTTATTCATGGTGCTGATGAGGATGTTGCACGACTGGCGCAGACATTCATATGGGCTGCTGGAGGGGCTCCCATAGATCTGAAGGAGCCAAAGAAATGAGTGAAAGCCCCACACTGGCCACTAACTCCCCATCCCCTTCTGCCCAGCCATCCAGGCCAACCTGTTCGCTTGCTTTGAAAGCCAGCTCCTCCAATGCAGCCACAGGCAGCCCCTCATTCTCTGCCAGTGGGGCAATGAGCTGGGCAGCAGCAGCTGCCACCTCCTGTAGCACAGCCACCACCCACGTCAAGTGTTTTCTGCAGTCCAGGAGAGTGTCGGATACCTGTGTAACAGGCTAAAGTCAAGACCTCACCCTGAGTCCAGCACTATAGTTGCTAGCTATCCCAAAATCATTTTGATCCCTTAACCAGATCCTGATCTTAATGTGACCAGATTCTGATCTTAACATGCTAAGCCCCTCCTGGCTCTACTCAGATTCCTTCCCTTCCACACCCATGGCCCTAAACCTGTGGTCCAAAGGCCAGTGCAGCTGGGATCCCAGGAGCATCTGTCCCTGGCATTCGCCTTCGGATCTTCTTGCAGAACTGGCGGATGTCACTACATGATGTTTCCAGGTCCCGAAGCAGAAGAGCAATATCTGTAGCCTCCTGCCCACCCTACACAGGAAATAGGAAATGAATGGGGAAACAAGCAAGCATTAGGGTTGGGGGGTGAAGATGTAGGGACTAATAAAGAGGAATTCACACAAATCTAGATGCGCCCTCACCTGCAAGAAGGCACGCAGCCGCCCCACCTCCACACTCATGCAGTCCAGGGCACTCTGGGTGAACTGTAAGGATAGAAACATGTGGTCTCAGCTCCCAACAGGAACCCTTCTGCCCATTATCATCTCTAAGAAGTCACCACCCTCTGCTGACTCCCACACATACACTGTTCCTCTACGTTCCCTAATCTGGCTTTGATGACACTACCCCAGTCCTATGTGACACCTCTTATGGGTCTGATCTCTTGATAGAATATCCTTAACTCTTATCCCTAGAGCAGGTTCAAGCACTGATCCAGAAACTTCACCTTAATGTGGTCAGCCAGTTGCATGGTACAGTCCTCGGGCTGTTCGGCAAGGTGGATGCTGTACAGATGCTGAGGAAGGATGACAAAGAAACAGCCTTTAGCCCATGGGAGGGTGTGAAGAGACCTTTCTCAACTACAGCTTGAACCCTGGTCATTATGGGTCTCCAGAGGTACAAAAGGATCCAAAATCTCCAAGAAGCTACATCATAAGGCAAGTTGATGTAAGAGAAAACTGGGCCTCAAGCAGCTTACCTAAGACATACAACCTTGAATACACTGGCAATAATTCCCAGTAAGCAAAAGCTTCCCTCCCTCCTGTCCAATGCCTGAATTCTTGCCCCAGACCTGGTAGTACTTGATAGCCTTGGTGAGAGGTTCCACATTGACAGTCTCATCCAGCTGATCCTTGTGCAGCAGCTCAATAAGGAAATCCAAGGAGCGCTCGTGGGCACTCATCTCAGGGTAGAGGCTGCCAACCTTCTTATACACATCCACATTGCACTGAGAGAGGGCACTAGAGACCAGAGAAGCATACTGTGAGGTCTTCCAGGCAACCTCAGTTCCAACTAATCCTGGACCCATGGCCCTGGAGTGGGGGTTAGGAGTCACTTACTGCTCATAGCGGTGTAGTGTGGCCTGCAGCAGACTCAGAGAGTATACAAGCCCAGCAGCAAAACTGAGCTGCTCTCCTGCAGCTCCTCGCAGTCCAGGCCGCTCTGAACAGTTTTCACTTAGTTCAAATTTCTCCTGAGCCTGCTTCCGGATCAGCTCTGCCTGTGGGAAGAAGAGTAGGGGCATGGAACTCAGAGCACAGGATGGAGAACACAGACTCAGAAATATAGGTTATGGCTTAACAACTATGTGAGGAGTACATGTGAGAAAGCAGAAACAGCTCTTACATGGGCAGGAAGTCTCACCTAGGGAATGATATGAGGACTTAGGATATGAGAGAATGAACACACAGTGGGACTATGGGAACTAAGTCATCCCTAACATAAAGCTGCAGCTCTATCTTTCCACCAAGAATGCTACCCTGCCAATTATCTACCTAGCTAACTCTTAGCCATCTTCTGACTCTCAGCTTAAATACTTCAGTCACATCCTGCCCTAATTTAAGTCAGATCCCCACTTGTGCTCTTAAAGGAGCCTACCCCTTCTTCATAAACAATTTGTAATACAGTTGTCCCTTGTATTTGTAGGGGATTGGTTTCAGAACTTCCCATGGACACTTTAAAACATTGATGACTAAGTCCCTTATATAAAATGGTGTAGTATTTGCATATAACATATGTGCATTCTCCTGTATACTTTAAATCATCTGTAGATTAATATCTAATGCAATGTAAATGGTACATTAATCACTGTTGTACTGTATTGTTTAAGGAATTGGATAAAAAGAAGTCTGTACATGTTAAGTATAGACACAGTTTTTTTCCAAATATTTTGATCTGCAGTTGGTTGAATTCATGGATGCAGAACCCACAGATATGAAGGCCAAGTATATATTTCATCTGTGACTCTGCTGACTATGTATACCTCTACTACCTTATAAACTCTTTGTGAGCAGAATCTTTACTTGGCATCTTCAATTCTGGCTCACAGCAAGTTCAACAGATTTTTATTACACGTGTAACATACCTTGCAAATGAGACGAGGCATGAGCAGTAGCACCAGGACGCAGTCATGGTCACCACCTGGTCGAAGGAAGCTGTCAGGCATGAAGGTTGTCAGCAGGGACATGTGCCGGTTGGCCTGGGCCACCTCCATCTGTCTCAACTCCATCTCAATTGCCTGTAAGATGGGCAAGGAGGAGAGAAGGGCCCTCAGCCAGGAGGGAAAGTCCCAGAACCACCATACCTTGTTCCACCAGGTTCCTTACTTCTAGCACAAGCACAGGCCAGGATTCTTCCACACTACCACATAAAGCACACTCTCTTCCTCAGGAATCTGAAGCCCAGAACCCCATACTGGGTCAGAACACAGCCATATGCAGGCTGGGCTCCCCAACACCCTGGCCCTCAGGCCATACACTTTTCTGACCTTGGCATGGGCTTTTGTCTCAGCAAACTTGATTTTGAAGTCAAAAGTCTCTGGAGGTGGCTGCTGCTGTCTCTCCACAGATGCTTCCTGCTGGTTTGTCAGTTCCCGATTCACGTCCTGGGAGCAGAGACAGTGAGGTACAGCTGGGTCATGAGGCACACCTGGGGTGATCATGAGCAAAGAAGAGGGGGGATGGGAGGAAGCACCTGTAGGTGGGCAGTTAGCTGGCGGTATTTCTTGATGGTTTGCTGGTAGTCTGCAACTGTCTCCTGAGCTGCCTCCACACGCTTCTGAGCCTCCCGGACCCGGGCACCTGCCATATCCAGCTGTTCCCGAAGCTCCAGTTCTGTCTCACGTGCATTCTCCTGCAGCTCATCATTCATCTCATTCATTGCTTCCTAGATGCCACAAGGTAGTTGGGGGAAAGCAAAGGCAGGGTGAGGGTAGGAGGGCCAGGATGGGTCTGTTCACTGCATACCCTGCTGGAAGGTCAGGAGTCACATGTCAATCTCCCTTCAGAGGTCCATTCCAAATACCCTCCGAGAGGGTCAGAAGTCAGGGCTGTACTCTTACCAAGTCTCCCACAGTCTCCCTCAACTCCCTCACTTTCTCTTCCAGATTCAAGTTCCGGTCAGTCAGCATCTCTACCATCTCCTCAGCACCAAGAGCAGCATCCACCTGTGTTACAGGGAAAGGATAGGAAGAAGTGCTGTTAGAAGGGACCTAAAAAAAGGAGGTGGCAATAGGAGGGTCAGATAGGGGGATTCTAGGTGAAAGCCGGACTCCCCAGACCTGTTCCTTGAGCTCATCAATGGTGCTCTCTGCCTGGCTCAGCTCCTCCTGCAGGCGTTCTCGCTGTTGCCTCACAACTTCCAGCTCCTGGTTTTTCTTTTCCATGAGCTTCTGGAGCTTCACATGCTCCTGTTTCTCCGAGGAAGAAAGATCTCGCATCCTGTGGGGAAATGAGGAAGAAAGAAGGTGAAGAGCAAGTGTCAGTGACTGGGTAATGGGTGCTCTAACACATTTGGAGGCAGCAGAGTTAAGTACCAAAGTCAAGCAGTGGAGGAGAAGCCTACCTCACCAGGGCATCCTTCAGGCGGGCGTTTTGCTCCTCTAGCTGCTTCAGCTGGTAACTGGATGCAGCCCCATCTGAGCCTGGGGAAAACCATTGACATGTTCAGGCTGGTTTCACTCCAACATTTGGCCCCCACAGCTCCTTGCCCCTTACCTTTCTCTTCAATCTCAGCCTTGAGGATCTCCAAGTCTGTGGAGAGCTCATCCACACGCTCCTTCAATGCCTCCACCTCCTGCTGCAGAGATTCAGCCCGCTCTTCAGCCATCTCCTTGTCCAGAGTGGCCATCTCAATGGCATCAGCAGTGTCTGCCATCTCCTCCATGTAGCGCTCCTTTGCTTCCAGAGCTTCCTTGGCTTCCTGGAGGGGGAGAGATCGGGTACAGTAGTTGCAGAAAGAAAACACTGCCCTTTCTCACAGGGTGCGCCAGACTCTAGCCTAGTTTTTGGTTCACCTCTTTGGGGCCCTCAACCTCCCCAACTACCCCCTTCATCTTGAGTCTCACCTTCCGTGCCTCCTTGAGGCGCCGCTGCAGGTCTGCCTGCTGCTCCTGCATTTTGCTCTTCCATTCCTGCACCTGCTCCAGCTGTATCTTGTGTTTCTCCAGCTCTTTAAGTTTTGCCTTGTCTTCTGCCCGTTTCAGCCGCAGAGTCTCCAGTTTCTCCTCCAGATCACGTACCTGGGCCCTAAGTCCCTCCTCCTCCTGACAAAGAGAGGCCCTGTGGTCTATGAACAGCCCACCTCTCCTCCCCACAAAGACTGAGGTGGAGCAGAGAAGATAACAATATGTACAAACATCACCCTAGCCCTAGTGCCAAAAGCCAAGTGTTATACAAACATCTGAGAGGAAACTATAGTACAATTTGTATGGGGAAAAAGTGAAAGAAGTTTAAGCAGTAGCAATATACCCATACACTGTGCCCTTACTCTTTCTGATCCAAGTTCTAGGACTCCCCAAACTCAGAAAATTTTAACACCAAGCCAGAGGTCACAGGCCCCTTAGTGTCTTGCTTCTCTCCTTTACCGTAGTCCTTACCTTGGAAGGAGAAAGAAGTGGAGGTGCTGCTCCAGGAGAAATGAGGGCTGGTGTGGGGATGATGGGTGCTGCCAGTGGAGTCTGAGCTGGGGTGCTGGGCTCACTGCTGCTCAGTTCACCTGCTGATGCTGAGCCAGAGGGCCCCAAGGAGCTACTGGCCCCTGCCACCCCAGTACTGGCTGGGCGAGTGGGCTATTTGAGAGGGCAGGGGCAGACCAGAAAGAAAATGAGGATGGGGAAATAAAAAGGAGATAGTATAAAAATATGGCAAGGGAAGGAGATGGAGAAAAAAACCAAAAAGAGTATGAAAGCACAACGAGAAAAGAGACATAGTGGAAGGGAGAGGGAAAATGACACAGAGACAGAAAGCAACAGAAAAGGACAGGGGGCGGAGGGAGTACAGAGGACAAAGGGAGAAAAGGATGGGGGAAGATATAAGATTATAAGTTTCTTCCCTCCCTTGGCAATGCCCCCACATTCCTCCCAGCTCTGGCACTACCCTTTAGAACAGAATCTCTTACTCCTCAGAACTCCCTTCTGTGACCCATTTGTGATCAGCAGTTTATTAATACTCCCAGTCCCATCCTTGCTCTGGGTCTGTGCCCAACTCCCCCAGAAAAAAAGCGTCTCAATGATATTCCCAGAGAGATAGAATAAGAATTTGTTCTTGGTTTTCATTTTCCCAGGGAGGGTAGAGCTAAAAGTGGGGTGCCAGGCTCTCTACCGCTGGTAGGCCCTCACTACTCTTTGGAAGTTAAGCTGAATTGTCCACTCATGGTCTTTGTCAGGGGATCCTACAGGTAAAAAAGACAAGGTAAAAGTTGTAGCCCTAGACTCCCCCTTGAAGTAAGTACCACCAATCCTTTTATATTTACTCTCCCAAGACAAAGGGGCTCTAATCAAGTAATACTATCCAGACCTCTAACCAGCTGCCATGAAGTTCCAAGCCCTGGGACCTCCCTAGCAGTGATGAACCCCAAAGTTCTCCTGATGACACTGAGAAACCACATGCTACCCACAGACACTCCCACCCAAAAGGTTTCAGATTCATCTCCTTCCCCTGACATTATACACTTCTGTTTTTCACCTCTTTTAATCTCTCCTCTCAAAAACGGTCAAAATTATTTTTTTCAAGAAAGCCTATCTTGATTAACCACAATCTCTCTCACTGTCTTTAGTACTCAATCTATTGGCTCAGATGGCTTCCTGAGATCTGGAAGTCAATCTCCCAGGAGAGGCTTGTCACCAACCCCAAGTCTCTCTCCCCCCTCAAAGGCAACCCATGATGCGCTGTGACCAACTTTTAATTCCTAGTATATATGCCCACAAACATGCACATGCTGAAACGTGTACACTCATCAGTGGCTTGCACAGAGACCTGGTTTTTCTCACCTTGGGCCGCCGAGTTGTGGTCTGGACAGGCAACAGGAGCCAGAGGAGTAGTCAGGAAAGAAAAGATAATGGCAGAAAGACAGACAGCAAAAGGACAGTAATGAGAGCAGAAGAAGTAACAGAATGGGGCTACAGTTAGTCCCCCTCCCCCATCCCATCTCCTCTCCAGTGAATCATGGTGCTCCTACTCCAGGAACCCAGAACTCCTGTTCCCTTCAGTTTCTGCTCCCACCTTTACCCAACTCTTGCAGACTGCACCCCTTCAGACTGGAAATCCCAGAAGTCCTGTCTCCTAGGCTAAACTACTGGAGACCAAATGTATCAGTTGGCAAGGTCTCCAGAGACTAGTCCTTTAGTGAATAGCCTCTCCCACTTCTGCCATGAGGCCCTACCCAGCCACCACTCCCAAGGGCTTTCCCAGGTCAGCCTCTTCCTACAAACACCCTCCCCTGGAAGGTGGGAGCTCAGATCCCTAAGGCAGAAAAACACTGATGTCCTCACTCCCTCCCCCACAACCAGATTCAGCAGCAGTCCCCATCCCTAAGGCAGAGGGCTCAGGTGTCAGGACTACGAATACTGCATTAGCAAAAGCCCAGAGCTCAGCAAAGTAACCCCACCCAGCTGAAGAAAGGAGGTGGGGGTGGGCAGCAGACAGAGAAACTACTGTCCTAAACCAAATCCAGAAACCCTTGAGGGTTAAATGGGTAATTAGCTACAATTCCCTTGCTGCCAGTGTCTCATTGCTCTGGTAAAGACAAGATATGGGCTTGGGCCCTGTTTCCTTGAGCTCAAGGAGATCAATCTCTGTACCTCCTACTCAGAACTAAGCTTCCATAGCTGTGGGTCAAAAATTATTCTAAGATCCCCATCCCACCCTGCTAAAGCCTCCTGACACAAATCCTAGGGGAGAAAGAATGCAAAGAAAACAACCAAGAGTCATTCTAGCAAAGGCTGGGTAAGGCAGGTAGGTTTGCTTTAGTCATTGAGCAAACTTGATTGCCTGCATCATCAAGTTCTGCTCCAGTAAACCCTCCCCAAGCCTATTTGCACTACAGGCTACCTGAATTCTAAGCCTGTGAGGCCACTAGGTACAAGGCCTGGAACACAGACTCAGAGCCAAAAGCAGGTAAGGCAGGGAGCACATGCTCAGGAGTACGGCATGATAGTGACACACACCTCTTCCTACACCCCTCCCATCCCTTCATCATCACCCTCCTCCCCCAAACAGGTAGACTAATGAAGCCAACCAGCCCCCACCCCCACCCCAGCAGCCAGCTGCCACCATCATCCTGACAACCCGGCAGCAGGACCAGAGCAAGCAAGAGTACCTTTCGGGCTGTCGGTGCCTGTCTCATCATTGCAGAAAACCAAAGAAAGCAAGGAGAGGAAAGAGAAGGAGGGAGAAAGGAGGATAGACAAACACAGGGAGGAAGGACAGACGAAGGGAGGGAGGGAAAGAGACCGAACAGAGGGAGAGGCGGCGGAAGACAGGAGATTAGTGCATCAAATCCCAACAATGCAGCCTTAGCTTCCCAGCCAGCAGCTTCCCAGCCTGCAAAGGGCTGCCACTTGGACACAGAGGCCCCTGCAGGTGCACAGCAGGACAGCCAGGCTCCAGCAGGAACCAGAGCTGTGCCCGGCCCAGTTCTCCAGCTTAAGCTGATGGCAGCCTCAGTGGCCGCAGCACCAGCTCCACCTGACGTCATGCACCCACCCTCCTCTGCTCCATGGGGGTGGAGCCACAGTTCCTGGGTCTCCTAGCAACCACCCAGGGCCCTACTGGCCCCTCCTCCTCCTCATGACTGGATGAAGTCCTGCGCAGAGCCCACCCTTCTTCGTCCTCCAAAGAACAGGTTCTGGTTCCACCCTTCCCTCCCTTATACTCACCCTCAAGAGCTTGCTCCAAAAAACTGGGCCAGGGACCATCCCAGAAATGTCACTTTATGGGGCCCAGCATCAGTGGGCAGGGACACAGGCCTCCCTATTCCATCAGTCTCTCATAATTGCACTCTGCTCCCCTGACCCCATCAAATCCACTTCTCTCATACACACTGGCAACACCCTTATATCTCTCATTAGGAATACATACCCAGAGCACCCCTCTAACACCCAGCTTCAGCTCTGAGTTGCACAGAATGATCAACAAACCCTGGGAACATTCCATCAGGGCAGCAGTAGTTCTAATGACAGTATTAGGCTTCTCTCCCAGTGTTCCCCTGGCTGCAGATAGGTTAAAAAGCCTCTCTGAAGGGCTTTCCAGAAAGGAGTAGGTATTTTACAGGTATTTTGCAGAGATATCCATGTTCTCTTTTGTCCTCCCCATCAAAGCAATTTTTTTTTTTTTTTTTGCTCTGGATCCTGTTCCCTGTTCCACATGGGATGAGAGCAGGGATCCTGGCTAAGTGATCTGCTTTGAGAGACCCACTAGGGCAGAAGACTGGGGTCATGGGGACATTTGAATACAATTGACACTTTCCACCATGAGCAAAAAAGGTACTGTAGCCCAGCTCAATCAGTCCAGGCTGGGCTTTGCCACATTTCTCCCAAGGTTTGGGCACTGTTCAGGCCCCTGCCAGGGTCATGTCAGGCTGCAGCCAGAACTCCTCCATAGATCTCAGACTGCAGTTTCATGCTCTTCTCTATTCAGGGGCCTCAGGAGAGATGGATGCTTCAACCAGAAGACAAAAATCAAGGACTGAAGCCAAGTTTCTATGAGCTTGGGATGGACCCACATCCTCTAGAGCATTATTTTCCTAACATCCCCAGTCCCACTCAGAACCAGGACCCAGGACCAAAGCAAGTACCAGCATATAGTCTGCAGCATGTTAAGACTCCAAAATGAGGACCTATCACCCACCAGGAGTCAAAAGGAGATGTTTTCCTCTCCCCTCTGCCCCAAGTTAACAGCTCTCCATGCAACATAAAAAAGGCCTGAGACAGGCTGGCAACAAGGAAATCACAGTATGGTACATACAGCTCATGCAGGTCAAACAACTTGGGCAAGGGCCCAAGGCAAGGGCTGGTGTGAGGAATTGGTAATGGCAGCAATTTAAGTTTTAAAAGTCTGTGGAGAAACTGGGCACCAGCAGCTCATGACTCTAATCCTAGTTACTTGGCAGGCTGAGATCAGGAGGATCAAAGTTCAAGGCCAACCTGGGCAGATAGTTTGTGAGACCCCTCATCCCCAAAATAACCAGAACAAAATGGACTGAAGTGTGGCTCAAACAATAGAGGGACTCTTTTGCAAGTGCAAAACCCTGAGTTCAAACCTTAGTCCCAACAAAAAAAACAAAACAATAAAGTCTATAGAAGAGAGGCATAACTTGAACCCCTACAAGGGGTGAGAGGTAGGCCTCAGGCACACACCAGACAAGGAAGAAGGTAGGGAAAAACTAATGGGGCAGAGTCAGGGTAGATAATCGTAGCAGCCCTGACCCAGAAGCAGGCACACAAAAGACTCTCACTTTCCAACTATTCTTTCTGTACACTTCCTTGTACAACCTTTTCACCTGGTACGTTCCCCAAACCCATTCCTCCAATTTGTCCTTCTACCACTCCCCAAGCTTGGCTAAGTAATGGTCTATTTCATGTTGCTGCTATTTACAGTCAAATGCTTGGAGTCTCTAACAAGGAGTCTAGAATAGGGAAAAATCATCCTTAATGAATGTTACTTAGGCCTCAGCACTGAGCCTGATGTCCTTGCTCCCCACGCTCCTTAAACGATCTCTGGAAGTCAAGCCACCATTTCCTCTGGCCATCCCAGCCCCAAGATTACACACACATACGCATGCAGCAGCCCAAGGGCATGCAGAACAGCAGGGGAAGGGGCTGCTGGCCCCCATCTACCCAGGCACAAACAGTAAACACACCACCTTCTTAGGCTTCAGTCCCCGCTGCATGAGGAGTAGGAAAGGGCAGAGTTAGAGAACAGATGTCACATTATGCTAGCTGGCCAGACATCTTGGGCATAGGTGTTAATACCAATTCAGGCACACACAGACAAGAGGTGAGGGGAGTCAGGTCAATGTCAAGCCCTGGGCAGGTGAGATGAGGGGTACCTCAAGGATCAGTTTCTAGGATGTCCATACCTGGTCCACAAAAGGTAGAGACCCACCTCACAACACTCTGCAGAGGAATGGCAGAGGAGAGCTAGGAAGAGCCCTCTGCAAACTAAAAGAGGTAGCAGGAGGCCTGGCTCCTTGCCACCATTTGTGAATAGGAGAACTCCTTTTCCCTCTGTCTTCCTACCCTCAAACCCTTTAGGTCTTTTGTCTTTGGGTACCAGAAAGTAGGAAGTTGACTACACTATTGGGGTAAGACCTATCCTTCCTAATACCCCAGCTCAATCCCACCTTGCACTTCTGGAATCTAACAGTTTTTCCTTGATATCACCATTACTCTAGCCCTAATAGAGCAATTCATACCCATAAAGCTTCCTTCTCAGGGAGGTTAGAGAGACTGAAGCAGTTCAGACTCACCTACTGTTTTTACATGTCTAGCACGGGTCTCCCTCCCTCCATTCTCTCTCTTTATTACTCCATACTCCCACCCCCAAACCACTCACCAGTTTGCTAGTCTTTGTAGCTGTATCAGCTCCCTCTGTAGAAAGCAAACAGAAACAAAGTGAACATTTACATAGAGGACTAGGGGCACAGAACATCATGGTAGTACAGGGTGAGATATAACAAGGGAATATATATAAGTGATAGAAAAACTTCAGCATCCACTGTGACCCCTGTTATGGACAGAAGTGTTGGGGACTTCTCCATGTAAGGAAGCAACTTCTTAAGTGGGTAGATATTACCTCTTTTGAGAACCTTTGAGGCAGAAGAATCAGGTGTCTCTGGGGAAGTAGTATCTGCTCCATCTTCAAATACCTGGATCTAAAGCCACAGAATAGATCAATACAACTAGATTAAGAATGGCTATAATATGGGTCCCTCCCCCTGTCCCTAAGCAAGCTGGAATACAGATCTCCAGTCTTCCCTCGCCTGCTACCTCCCACTCTTCCAACCAGAGAAAGTATACCCCACCCAGAAAAAGGAAGTACCAACACATCAGCTGCACATGTAACAGATATCTGCACGCACGCACACACACGCACACACACACACACACACACACACACACACACACACACACACACATATACATACACACACACAGAAACATAGTACCTGGGACTGGCGCACAAAGATGCCATGCCCTTCATCACAAGTGAAATACTTCCTGCCTTGGACAGTTCCATCATTCTTGCCCTTTGCTTCATCCAGGATAACGCCTACCCATTTGCCAGTGGCAAAAAGTGTGGCTCCAACATAGGCCACAGTGCCTCTGTGGCCTTTTCCAATCACTTCCACACGGGACCCTACCCTCAAAGGCCGGGCACTTGTCTCTGCACTCATCCTGCTGCCACTGGGCGTCTGAAAGAAAGATACATGTAACTAAATACAGTTAGAGACCTAGGTCAGGATAGTAGCCTAATGCGTATTAAACACTCCAGCCAGGATCCTGGGCTGAAAAAAAAAGACTAGTGTTTATATTTAAATTTTATACAAATCAGAATTCATTGATACATCTGTGAATGTCACCACATGGCTACTGTCTCAGGAGCACTGCCCTCCAGGAGAGAAATTAAGCTCAAGCAAATAATTTGGTTTAGACCAGATTCCTACAACCTAACACCCTGACTCTGGAGCCTAAGCTGGAAAGATAGGTGATTCAGTGGGTGGCGGTCCATAATTTTGCTTCTCTCTCCATTGTCAACTGTCTTCCCTGGGGTTCAAATGGTTCTCTCAGGCCTCTCTTTTGTTGTTGTTGTTGTTGTTGAGACAAGCTCTGCAGCCCAGGCTGGTCCCGAACTCATGATCTTCCTGCTTTAGCCTCCCAAGTACTGGGATCACAGGTGTGTACCACTGCACCTGGCTAGCCTCTCCCTTTCAGAGGCAAATAATTGTGCCTCCTTCCAGGCCCTTAAGTCACCACAACTCCTTCCTGATCTGACTCCTCTCACTCCCATACACATCCCTACCAAGACACTCCTAAATGCCTCACTGCAACCCACTCAACCATCCAACTTCCTTCTTCCTGGCCTTTGGCCTACTCTTTACCCCTAAGCTCTGTATATCTTTCCCCCATGCTATCTTGCTATGAAAAGAAAATTGTAAGCCAAGTAAATCAGGTACCTCAGATTTGTCCCTCATTCTGTCCTCAGACTCTTCCCAGTGGTTCAAATGGATGTCTTATCACTCAATAAATGGGCAAGGTAAAGGAATAAACTAAGACATTGTTCTCAGGAAGCTACCAGCTTCTGACATATTTGTGATGACAGGACACAACATGAAATTAGGTCCCAAATCAGCCCATGATTTAGAAGAAAATCACACCTAAGCCATTTTTAGCAGTAGCAGCTCCATGAACCAGAGTCTTGCAGCAGATAAATGGGGCAAGAAAAAGTGACACCCTGGTCCTGAAGACTACGTGGGGCTCCCTTTTGATAGCTCCAACTTGGCTTGAGAAGGGAGCCCTGTCAGAGGCAAGGAAAAGTCAGGACATTTCCTGGCCTGTCACTCCCTAACTCCCTTCCTCAAAAAGCTCACCCAGCAAGGTAAGAACATAGCTCCCAGGGACTTCAGGACCCCAAATCACACCTAGGACATTAGGGTAGATTTCATGGACCTGACAATAAAGGACAATGACATGAAAACTGGACCCAAACTCCAAGAATCTCCCCACATCCCAAAAAGCCTCTCAGAACCAAGTGGATACAATAGTGGGAACAGATTCAATTTCAGATAGAAGAAAGACAGAGCAAGTGACAAAGCAGCTCTAAAGAAGGGCCTCACTGTAAGACCTTTCTGACCCATCAGTTCCATTCTAAGTCCCTGAGATAGTATGGACCCCATTGAGAGTCCTAGTCTGAGGGCCAATTAGAGTCGAAGTCAGGCCTTTACAGTCTCTATTTAGGGTCCAAATCTAGAAGAGAAGCCTGTCCAGCCTGCCAGCATCAGGGCTTTGAGGGCTCCTTAGAAACACAGTCTGTGAGTGCCCCCAGCTGAGTTTCAGCCTATCTCCCAGCCCCCATAGCAATGATGTCCACAGGCCTTCTCTAGCAGTCCTCCCAGGGCCTTCCCAGATTAGGGCCACTTACCCGGTTATACACGTGCCTCTTGCTCTGGGCCATGTTGCTCACCTGGCCTCTACCCCCTCCCCCAGCTGGCCAAAGACAGAGAGAAAAGGCAGAAACCTAGGCAGGAGGGTCAGGGCACTGGGCCCTCATGGACTGACACAGGAGCTGTCAGGCACAGCTCTCTCCAGTTGATGGGCCTCACTCAGTAGCATACTGGGGTAGAGGTGGGGGCTAAGAAGCAAGTCCCCTCTGCAACCCGAGGATTCCTGAACCCGGAGACACAGAATCCTGCTTGCCAGCTGATGAGTCTCACTCTGCGCTAGTGCTGCTCTAGACTTGTCAGAATGGTGCTAGCCTCTGGGTCCTAGTGCTCCCCTGCTTCACCTGGCTAGATAAGAGAAGCAGAGGCAGAGGGATGAGCCCACCCAAGGGCCTCCACCCAAGAACCTCAGCACTCATCTCTACAGTACACTTTCCTAGGGCTAGAAGCACAGTCTTGATAATTCCTTCTAGCCTATACCCTCTCATTATCACTGTGCCCTTTTCCACAAGCAGGACTACAAGTATTAAGTGATACTTCAAAATGATCAGCTCCCTAGAGCCTTCACACAGACAAAATTAAGGGTCTCTCATCTCCCTTTCTGGTGATCTTCTCTTCTCTCCCCCAAACTCTAGGCTTAGGTCCAAACCCATGTGATTAGGGTCTGAATTTCAATCTCACACTGAGCCAGATAAAGAGAAATGAAGGGCAGAAAAGGAGGCACTTTCACACACATTGCAAAGAAAGTTAAGTACTCCAGGACCCGCCCACACCGGCAAAGGTCATTAGTCACTCTTCCTTCTGGTTGTAACTGGCCAGGCTCTGACCTCCGAGAATATCAGATTCAACTGAATTATTAAGAGCAGGGTTCAAAAGCAGAAAGCCCCACTTCCCCCTTATAGCCTAAGGCTCAGTCTGCCTTACCCACCTGCCCCTTCTATTCTTGCCTCCTAACATCCCAGATCCAATGAG